GTTTGACCTCAGTGCTTGGGCTCTTTACCACAATGTTGAGATAACTACAGAGCACACATTTGTGAATATTCATACATTTCCTAAGGGCATTATGAGGATATCGGTGGAGTTCATGGATATTCCATGACTATTTGTTAAAGAACACCTGAAAATGTGAAGGAGATGAAAATATTTATCAAAGGCAGTAGACACTAAATTTCCGAAGAGTCCGGATGTTATATATATCATCACAGAAAAGACATAGTAAGGAGAGGCAGAATGAGAAATCATTTCAGTTAAATTCTTTTCACTTCAAAATTTTATCTTTACTCTAATTTTTCTACCTCTTCTCCTCAACACAGCTCTCAACTCTGTCAAGTACCATGTTGAGAAATACCTACAGAGGGTTTTATTTCTTAAAATTGTAGCTTAAAAAAAAAATCTCTACTTTAGATTTCCTGTAGATTGTATTTAGTATCCACATTTTTAAGAATGTTGTAAAAGCTTTCCAGTATCCATATGCCCCGTTCAAAGAGCTAAGTAATTCAGTGAGGGAATTTCTACTTGAAAAATCTTTGTGCATCAGTGTGGGATATAAATTCAATTGTCAGCAAGCTGTGTCAGAGCAGATTTCTTGTCATATTTGACCACAGAGCAGAGATTTATTGAAAATTCTTGATGATATCGGTTTCTGAGTTGTTTTACATAAACATAGCAGTGCAGTGAATGCTTTTGAATGTGTGAGGGAGGGAGAGAGAGAGAGAATATGTGTGTGTGTGTGTTTCTGGCTCTCAACCCTGACATGTAGGAGAAAAATACCAAACGGCATTTCAGTACATAGTGTTGTATCCAGCTTACTTTAGAATGATTTCTGCAACAACCATCTTCTAAGTAGGTACAGACTTCTGTGCCCTTTCAGAAATGAATCATGAATCAAAATACTTTAAAACCAATGCTTTGGAATACAGACTATTCTATTTCATGCTAGGGAACAGAACAATGGGAATTGTTGAAATCCAGAAACATACAATAGGTATATTATTTTTTAAAGAACTTTTATTATTTGCAAGCCATTTATACCCAGGTCAGTAGTGAAAATGCAAAAACTAGAAAGGAAAATTCCTTTCTTCCATAATGAAAGACTTGGAACTGCAATATAAATTTAGTCTCTTGGCTTCTCTTAGTTCTCTGATTTTATATTCTGTGGCTTGACAAATTATTTTGTTTTTCTATTCAAGCTTATTCAACTCCAACTCCAAGGAGATATTTATGAAATTCTTTTTCTAAATGTATTATAAAATATTGGTTATGTTCACATAATAATATTGATAAGGAAATGTGCATAATTTGTGGAGTGGATGCCTTCTATATCTAAGGGAAACTATCATTGTCACATTTATTTATGAGTAAAAATTGTCAACCCAGAGACAGCTTTACAATCTGTCAATCAACATTAATGACTATGCAGTGATCCCATTTGATCAGTAAGATGGGTGAAATCATTAAATTGACTGCCTTGAGAGACTGAGAGTTTAAGTTTCCTGAATATAGGAAACTTAATGATTATGTTATCATATGGCTCTTATTTACAAATGTATTCAAGTCCATTATTATTACTCTTATTACTATTATTACTATAGTAACTGTACACCCCAGGAAACTAAATAATATATCAAACCACTTCAATAGTCTCCAGTGGGTTAAAATGACAGATTTCGAAATATTACTTCTAGAAAATCCTTCTTATTAATTCACTTGAAAAATATGGAGTATCTCTAGCCCTGTACTGTGAGAGATAGAAAGACTACAAAATTATAACCTCTTTCTTTAAGAGATTTATAATCATTTTAGCTAATATCTGGCTTGAGTCTCTGATTCTTTTTATAATTTTCCTTGTCATCTTTTTTTTTTCTTTTCCTTTTTTCTGGAGTCTGTCCATGTGTTTGTTTACCCACAATTTACTCTTTATAAAATATCTTTAAAGACATTGTGCTATATACCACTTATTTTCAAATTTTCATTCAACTCTTCCCAAAAATAATTTAGAAAACTTTGTAACACCTGAAGAAGAATTTTTAATTTAACATTTAAAACACTTTGTTATAAATATCTATGAAGGATGTCATTTCTTTAGTATACTACTCTTTTACATAAATCTAAATGCACAGAAATACCATAGCAATTTGATATCCACCATCATCTATTTACAAAATATATGAGGAAGCTTCTCTTTAACAGAGAAAAATTTGGAGTGCCTGGGTGGGCTCAGTTGTTAAGCGTCTGCCTCTGGCTCAGGTCGTGATCCCAGGGTCCTGGGATCAAGCCCCACATTGGGACCCCTGCTCATCCGGAAGCCTGCTTCCCCCTCCTACTTCCCCTCTCTTGCTGTCTTTCTCTCTCTGTCAAATAAATAAAATCTTAAAAAAAAAAAAAAAAGTTGGTGGACTTAAAAAAAAAAAACCAGAAAAATGTACACGTTTCTCCTTGAACTGGTATCTACAATTCATTCTCCCAGCAGAATAATACGCAAATATAATCTGTCTTTGTGTCTCTTATTGATCATTATTCTTATTTCTTTGCAATATTATATTTTAATAAGCTGAAATTATTTGTTTATTATTATAAACTTATGTGAGCATAAGCTTAGGTTTAACTGCTGAGGTTTTTTTCTTTAGGGTTAACATTACAATTAGTATTTCTGTACAATTGTGTATAAAGTAAGATTTTTATTAGCATTCTATCACTTAATGACACAAATGAGGCTTTTTCTGTACAATTATTGCATACATTTGTGGATGAATGTACTTTTTGCATCAATTCTATTCCAGTGTTTTTTTCACCTAAACACTGAGAAACTTTGTATATATGTGTGGGTGAGTGTTACAACAATGAGATATTTATAGCACTCAGTGATTTGAACCTCCAAATTACGTTCCAGAATCATACTGTGAACTCTCATCTGAAGTTATTTTTCATAATATTTCAACTAACTGGATATTGTCCTCCAGTTATGCTGGAAGTAAAAATTTTAGAAACTGCCTGACTTTCATAAGTATTTGTTACTCATTCAAGTTATTTGCTTTCTCATTTTTAAGAGGTACATCTATAAGAAACTTCACGAAGATTTACAGAATAATTATAGAATACATCTGCAAATTTTTTCCATGAAGTACTTCATATAATACCATATATTATGACAGGATTGGAAACATTGAAGCATCACTTTCAATATACTGTTATCAATATAATTTTTTGAAAAATGTTTTTATTCTCTTAAAATCTATATAGTTTGTATTCATTTCATGGAAAATACCCATCATTTAACCTACTTAAAAGTTAGTCCTTATTGTGAAACCAATACTTTTTTTCAGTTTTTCAATTCAAATAAACATGTTAACATATATTTCAAGGAGTATTATAAATACACTGAAAAATAAATTCCAGAATGCAATTTCAAAAGCTATTTTACTAGAAGCAGCCCTTTTGATTTGAAGTGTTTATGTTTAATGTAATGAATCTTCATTTTAAGTTAGAAAAAATATTTTTAAATCTACATGTTGTTTCTAATTTAAAATAATGCAATATAATCCGTATCAATGATCATGAAGTTACTTATGTAAGAGTAATATGATAAAAAGAAAGGTTCTCCTGTGGTAAATGAGCGTGCTCATGCATGTTGAACTCCAGTAATTGACATTATAGTGTAATTAAATAAAAATAATGCATATAATAGAACTAACTTTATTGATGTAATAGAAATATACTGCTGAAGATCATTCTAGTGTCTAGTTTAGATTGTATTTTTTGTTAATAAGAAGTAGGGAATTCTAAACATTTTATGAGATGATGTAAGATGAAGAGTGACTGCAATCAGAATCAATATTTTATAATGTGACATAGTTTAATAGATATTGAATAATGCTCAATACACCTAGGAAATATTATGTAAGATATTGATCTGTGGGATTAAGCCAGTACCACTAAAAACTGTTTGGTATTCCTAGACATTTAGTTATATTTAAATTAATGTGTCACTAAATTGTACTGTTTTGCTGTTCAAAGGCATTTTCTTCCCATTTAAGTAAAAATCTCAAATATGATTATTTAAATAAGAATCTTAAATATGATTCTTGCTTTTTTCTCTCCAGATTCTCTCTCAAGAGCATTACATTCTTTCATGGAAGTAACAGAAAATTCCTATTTCCATTGCTCACTTTACACCACATACTCATTTTCTAAACAACGCAACACATTCTAATGCTACAGTTCTTGCTTAGGAAAGAGAAAAAGGCAAAAACAAAACAAAACAAAACAAAAATCAGAGAGCCTTAATGTGGCTTTGCAGTGGCTCGATTCATTGTTTCTTTCTTTGAAACTGTGGGAAGTTTGAAATCTCAGGGTAATGCTCTGTAGTAAGGTGCTGGAAGAGGCAGCTGTCTTTTTTAGAGTAAAAAAGAGACTATGTTGGGGCACCTGGGTGGCTCAGTGGGTTAAAGCCTCTGCCTTTGGCTCAGGTCATGATCTCAGAGTCCTGGGATCAAGCCCCACATTGGGCTGTCTGCTCAGCAGGGAGCCTGCTTCCTCCTCTCTCTCTGCCTGCCTCTCGGTCTACTTGTAATCTCTGTGTCAAATAAATTAAAAAAAAAAAAAAAAAAGAAAGAGACTGTGGAAAGAGAGGCAAGTAAGGGAACCTACATGATACTATGATGAGTATTTGTAGGTTTGAAGATGTGAAAATTTAGCCCTTTCCTTTTTCCTTTGTTAGGTGGCTACCTAAGAAAAATAATAATAGGGGTGCCTGGGTGGCTCAGTAGGTTAAGTCTCTGCCTTCTGCCCAGTTCATAATCTCAGGGTCCTGGGATCGAGCCCCTCATCGGGCTCTCTGCTCAGCCGGGAGCCTTCTTCTTCTCTCTGTCCGCCTCTCTGCCTACTTGTGATCTCTGTCAAATAAATAAAATCTTAAAAAAAAAAAAAAAGAAAGAAAGAAAAAAATAATAATAACAACACCTTTTTTTTTGCAGCTGTCGTGAGTGCCATCCCTGTGCCTACCCTGGAAAGTGCCCAGTACCCAGGAATCCTCCCATCTCCCACGTGTGGATACCCGCACCCGCAGTTTACCCTCCGGCCCGTGCCATTCCCCACATTGTCTGTGGACCGAGGTTTCGGAACAGGAAAAAGTCAGTGTAATGCATTTTCCTTTCTTTTTACTAAGAAATGAATAATAACCAAGGACGTCTTGTTCAATGTATAGCATTTTGACATTCTCATCCCTTGGAAAAATTGGTTTACCTCTGCCCTGGGTCAAAATCAGAGGACTGATTCTCTGGGAGCCTTTCCACAGCACTTTCCATGGACAGTACGGAAAGCTGTGGGGAAACAAAGGTTAACTGGTTTAGTAAAGCAATGATGTGATGGGTGCTTGAAATTAATATGTTCTGTCAACTAGGAAATGACTAATCAAGTGACTGTTCTCCAACATATTCTTGTGTAAGTGTCTGTTGGTTATATTTAAAGGTATCTCATTGATTCCTCATGGACCAATGCTTAAATGAATATTTTAGCCTTCTTTACTTAAATCCATTAAGCAAGATCTTTTGACTTTTTAATTAATAATTGTTGGAGAAAGAAAAAAATTTCCAAAGGAGTATTTCATTTGTTTTTGTATTATTATTTTTCTGATTTTAATGAGATAATAGTTGACATATAACATTGTGTAAATTTAAGGTTTAAAATGTGTTGATTTGATACACTTACGTATTACAGAATGGTTACCACCATAAAATTGGTTAATACCTCCTCATGTTATATAATTTCCATTTCTTTTTTGTGGTGAGGTTTTAAATGTACTTTCTTAGCAACTTTCAAGTATACAATACAGTATTATTAGCTATAATCACTATGCTGCACATTAGATGCCCAGAACTTAATCACTTATGACTTGAAGTTTGTACTCTTTAACCAAGACCATTCTTTTTTCTCTATCCCCCAGATCCTGGTAACCACAATTGTAGTTGCTATTTTTATGAGTTTTGTCTTTTTGGTTTCTACTTATAAGGGATATCATACAGTATCTGTCTTTCTTTTCCTGACTTATTTCACTTAGCATAATGCCCTCAAGGTCCATCCATTTGTTGCAAACAGCAAGGTGTCCTTCTTTCTCATAGCTGAATAATAGTCCATTTTGCACATATACCATATCTTCTTTATCCATACATCCATTGATGGATGCTTAGGTCGTTTCCATATCTTGGCTATTCTGAATAATGCTACCGTAAGCATGGAAGTGTGTATATATCTTCAAGATCTCGTTTTCATTTCTTTTGGATATATACCCAGAAGTGAGATTGCTGGATTATATAATAGTTCTATTTTTTTTAGTTTTTTTTTAGGAAACTTCATACTCTTTTCCATAGTAGCTGTGCCATTTTACATTTTCAGCAACAGTGCACTCTTTTGTCCATGTCCTTGCCAACGTTTCTCTTTTGTCTTTTTGATGATAGCCATTCTAACAGGTATGAGGTAATATCCCATTGTGATTTTGATTTGCATTTCCCTGATAATTAGTAAGGTCAAATACCTTTCCCACATATTTGATGACCATTTATATGTCTTCTTTGGAAAATGTACATTCAGTTCTTCTGCACATTTTAATCCAATTTTTTGCTATTGTATTGTGTGAACGTGTTACATATTTTAGAATGTGTTACATGTTAACCCTTTATCAGATATGCAGTTGGCAAATATTTCCTCCCATTCTGTAAACTGCTTTTCATTTTGTTGATAGTTCTCTTTTAGCTGTACAGAAGCTTTTTAATTTGATATAATCCCATTAGTTTATATTTGCTTTTGTTGCTTTAGCTTTTTGTTGTCAAATCCAAAAAGTCATTGCTAAAACCAACGTCCAGGAGATTATGCCCTTTGTTTTCTTCTAGGAGTTTTACAGTTTCAGGTCAGGTCTTATATTCAAGTCTTTAATCCATGTGAATTCATTTTGTGTACAGCATAAGAAATCCAGTTTCATTTTTTTTTATAAGAGGCAATTCAGTCTTCTCAATGCCATTTATTAAAGAGACTATTTCCCCTGTCCCTGTATTTTCTTGGCTTTTGGGCGTAAATTCATTGACCATGTATACATGGGTGTATCTCCAGGCTCTTCCATACTGTTTGACTATTATAGCATCTTAATATAGTTTGAAATCAGGAGATGTGATGCCTCCAGCTTGATCTTCTTTCTCAGTACTGGTTTGGCTATTTGGGGTCTTTTCTGGTTCCATACAAATTTTGAGATTGTTTGTTCTATTTCTGTGAAAAATGGCATTGGATTTTTGATAGGGATTGCATTGACTATGTAGATCACTTTGGGTAGTATAGAAATTTTAACAATATTAATTCTTTCAAACCATGAGCATGGAATATCTTTCCTTTTATTTATGTCTTCAATTTCTTTCATCAAAGTCTTACAGTTTTCAGTGTAAAGATCTTTTACCTCCTTGATTAAATTTATTCCTAAATGTTTTATTCTTTTTGACACAATTGTAAATGAGATTGTTTTCTTAATTTCTCTTTCTGATAGTTCAGTGGTAGCATATATAAATGTAACTGATTTTTGTGTATCAATTTTATATCCTGAAAGTACTATTTCATTTGTTTTAAGGAAAGTAGGTATGGAGAGAGACTCTTAATCTATTATATACACCCTGGTGGTTTCTCTTATGCCATTTGACTTTTTTTTTTCCTTCAAGCACAGCATTTTAAAATCAATTTTATGGCTTTCTTCTCTTAGTTAGGAACAGGTGACTCAGCAGCTCATGTGAGATAGGATGTTTTGTAATAGATAAGATGATAACAACAATAAAATATATTTGTGAGGTAAGCTATATATTTTTTTAACCTAACAGGAACAGCTCTAAGAAATCATAAATTGTCTAGATGTAGCAAGGTTAGAATTAAAAGGCATCAAAAATCTGCCAAAAGAGAATTAGATTTATTTTCCCTTTTCTCACTGCACATCATGTCTACAGAATAGAGTTGTGTGCAGAAACTCAGGAAAAATAGTTTCCCAAACCATATTGAAGAGAATTAAATGAGAAAGATATGGGAAATCCAAAAAGAAAAATTTCCAAATCCCAGGACAGCTAGGAAGGTGATTCCAGTCAAAGAATTCAGAACCACGAGTCCCTTCTTTAGCTTCTGAAACAAAACTAGCAGAAAATAAATGATTATAGTTTTTGTTTCATTTCTCCCTCATTGAATCACCGTCTACTATTTTCTTTTTATTTCATCTATATCCTCTGACTTTAGAAGTGTGAAAAGAATGTGTAGAATGACCTTTATCTCTTCACTACACAAGACCAAGTCAAGCCAAAGTTCACTGTTTTTTTAAGGAAATTAACCATTTTATTTTATTCTTGGTGTATTCCTGTCATCTCTTTTTCTCTTTTAAAGGCATTGTTTCCTTCTGAGAACTCAGCATCCCATTTACTCTTATCTTTTTCTCTTGATTTGGTGCAACGTGGAAAACCATCTCATTGAATCCCAGGCATAATCATTCCAGAAGTTAAATTTCAATGAAAAAGAATATAATAAATGAGTTAGCATATTTTTTTTCCTTTCCCCATTGGCCAAAATCAGTTATATGGAGAAGCTCAGTACCAAGGGAAGTATATATTCCACCCAAAATGAACTAGAGAATTTGCAGGGGAAGGGAGGGAAGGGTGAGTTGTGAGCAAATAATACAGTTTGTCACAGATTACCATTCACCATCAGGACGGTCTGGGCCACTGTTTCTCATCTCAGAGTCTCTGCACATTCTTCTACCATGGATGTAGTTGTTTCTTAGGCTGCCATCACAAGGTACCATAAACTAGGTGGTTTAAATGACGGAAATTTATTCTCTCATAGTTCTGGAGGCTAGAACTCCAAAGTCAAGGTGTTGTCAGGGTTACGTTCCCCCCAGAGTCTCCAGTGGTGGATCTATCTCTGCCTCTTCCAGCTTCTGGTAATCCCAGACATCCCTTGGCTGTGGCAGCATAACTCCAGTATCTGCCTCCTTCACATGGCTGTCCTCCCTCTGCCTGAAGAGATCTTAGAGACCCAGACCTCCAAGGACATATTTGGGGGCCAGAGAGCAAAGCTTTGGGGTTTTTTGTTTGTTTGTTTAATTCATGAGAAAGAGAGAGTGAGAGAGAGAGAGGCAGAGAAAGAAGCAGGCTCCCCGCTTCTGCATTGGGAACCCAATGCAGGGCTCCATCCCAGGGGCCTGGGATCATGACCTGAGCTGAACACAGATGTTAAACCAACTGAGCCACCCAGGTGCCCAGGGAACAAACTTCTATGAAGAGAACTGGTCTCCCAAAAAGATATATTGAAGTTTTAACCTCCAATACCTGTGAATGCGACCTTAATTAGAAAGAGGATCTTTTCATATGTCACCAAGTTAAGGTGAGCTCATGCTGAGTTAGTGTGGGTCCTAATCCCATTTGCCTTGTGTCCTTAGAAGAGAAGAGACACAGGGAGAAGATGGCCGTGTGACCACAGAGGCAGAAGCTGGACTGATGCATGCAAAAGCCAAAGAACAATAAATGAACTAAGTTAAAATGTGTTTTTATTTGTGGTTAAATACTGCAGATTTGTTTATGTCTGTGGTTAGAGTCTTATGTACCACTCTTGCGCAGGACTTTGATAGAGCAGGCTGTGTATATGTGGGGACAGAGCACATACTGGAAATCTCTGTACCTTTCACTCAGTTTTACAGTGAACCTAAAACAGCTCTGGTAGAAATAAATAAATGAGTGAATGAATAAGTAAAGATATAAATGAATAAAAGAAAAATTTGGTGTCTTTAGTAATTTTTAAAACTTTTGTTAATTTATTTAAAAGTAAGGATTATTAAATAAGGGTAGTTATAGAACTATAATCCATAATGTAAACATAAAATATATAATGCAATTATTATCTAAAGTTATATAAATAAAGGATCCCTAAAGAGGGCTTAGCTTGGGTGCCTGGGTGGCTCAATCGGTTAAGCAGCTGCCTTCCACTCAGATGATGATCCCAGGATCCTGGGATCGAGTCCCACGTTGGGCTCCGTGCTCAGCAGGAAGTCTGCTTCTCCCTTTCCCTCTGCCTGTTGCTCCCCCTGCTTGTGTGCTCTGTCTCTCTCTCTCTCTCTCTCTCATATAAATAAATAAAATCAAAATAAAGTCAAATAAATAAATAAAATCTTTTAAAAAAAGAGTGCTTAGCTTAATTTTTGAACTTGATCTAAAATCATAAGACATAATTTTAGATCCCAGCCAAAACTTCACAGATTTTTAAAAATATATATTCATTCATGCATCAAGTAATTTCTTAGCAAAAGGAATGTACAGTGTGAAAGAAATAGGGATGAATATGTGCTTCCACGTGATGGCTTAGGAAAGGAAAAGAAAGAAGTACCCTCTCTTCTAGGAAACCAAATATTCTCTAAATCACTGTCAGAACCAGTTAACTTCCAGCCATTCAATATCGGTTTCTAAATGCCTTAGAGACCACTAAACATCCCTGTTCCTTCTCAAGCGAAAACATTTCATGACTCTGGCTGGAGATGTCTTATTAGTCACCTTGAGAAACAACAAAAGTCACACACAGGAAAAGAAAAAATTGTGCCAAGTGTGGAGGCTCTTCTTCCTCCAAAGTTATCTGAAAGACCTTTGAGTTGCCCAAGAATCACTAAATGAATCACTAAAACTCTGCTTTAAGAGAGCTGCTCCTTTCTGAAAGTCACAAATAAAGCTGAACTTCTCTCCTACCAAAAGGAAAAGAAAGTTGTAGGAGATCATATATTTGCATTATACACATTTGGTTATCCACTGATAAAGACTTATATAATTCTGGTGGACAGATACCTCCTCGTTCTACTAACAAACTATAGTTCTGGTCTTAGCTTCAGTAGTTCAGTAAGTCCTGATCCTGGGGAACAAGAAACAGTGCCATATTTTGAAAATTTCAACCAATAGATAGTCTTGAGGCCCCATTTCTACAAGTCACTATAAACTTGGTGCCCTTGAAACAGGTAGATACCAGAGGTTAGACAATTTTTTATCATTCCTTTCAGTGTGGGTGTTGCCTTAGTGAGAAGGCTGGTCAACCTCACCCATGTTATTTTTCTGTCCCAACTCTCCCCCAGATAGGAAATCAAATAATAATGGGACTTAACCTAGATAGAATCATGGGCATAGTGGAGTTTATAAATTTCTCTATAGAGACTATGCAAAAATTCACACTGTCAGGAACTGGGGTTACTCAGGAATATTGCACAGTTTTTGTTCTGAGATTAACGATTGAATTGGGTTCCTTAAGTGTTCATGTCTCAAAGTCTTTGTGTAGAGTTACTGGCATGCTCTATTTCTTTCAAATACTACAATTTGAAATAGAAGAAAAATGCCCATTTCCATTTTTGCAATATATTTGCCAGTCATTCTATAGCAATTATTTAGTGTTGACATTAATTATTATAAAGCACCTTGAAATTCAACTCTGCTGTGTAATTGTACACTATTTGTACAATGGAGTCCCACCATTTCATCATTTGAAAACGAGTGCCTTGCCAGCACTTCCTTGATTCTCCCTTTATTTTCTGAATTTCAGGAAGGCTGTGCTTTGTGGGCAAAGGGAGGTTTTCTTTGCTTTCCAAGCTCTGAAATACCATGTCACTGAGCCAATTCGCTTCATATAGGTGTCCTGATGCTGACAACTGAACTGGCCAAAGGACTCATCTTACACAAGGGCTTTGCTCCAGGGGAGACATGGCTATTGGATTTAAGAGGTTTGATTCCCTCAAATGTCAGCCAGTTCTGAAAAGCATTTCTTTTGCTCCACATAAAATATAAGAATTATGAATTGACCACAGAAAATCTGTACCTTGCCCATTGTATTAGATATTAAGCAGACATCATTTTCAACAAAATAGAACTAGTCCCTTATAGATTAGTGATGCATTCAGTCTCCAATTCCCACTTAGCACATTCAATTAGGCACTTTCCTTTCCACTATGTGTGGTACTAAAGATTGATTTTGCCAATGAGCTGGTCCATCTGTGTGGAGCTACCATTATTCCCTCAAATGTGTTCCCAGTGGGAATCATGGTGACCACCTGAAGACCTAGGGATGGAGGACTGGGCATGTGGAGAATTTGTGTCTTTAGAGATGCCAGTGAGCAATGCCATTAAAGAGAATAGGAATGGGAGTGACCCCCAAACATTCCATGATGTCATCAAAATTTCTCTGAAGCCTGAGGTTTTTGAGAAACTAAATTTTATTTTTTTATTTTTTTGTGTGAGAAACTAAATTTTAGAAAACTAAAAAAGTACATGTCAATTTTATTAAGTCTAATGTCAATAATATTTTAACATAAATCTTTTTCATTTCAAAAATGTAGAAGAAATAGAATATGAAAATATGAAGGAAGGAATAAAGAAGAACACAAAATATATCATTATTTCTTTAATGGCTAAAGCAGTTTCTAAAATATGATATGGATGTATTACTATCCATCTTCAAAACAGTTACTTAGGGCAGATTTCTATGGAAAATTGTAAAATTTATTTCCCTGGAAAGATATTCTTAATATGGTAGTATGCACCTGTAATAAAAACCAACCCATTGGTAATGAAGAGGGACCCAGATATAGGTTCCTACAACCTCTTCTCTCTGAGCTAGAGCTAAGAGATACTGTTATTTAGATATTGACCATTGGTCATTTTCTCCCTTAGATTAAATATGAGTCCAGAGTAAAACTGGTATAATTTTCTTTGCCTGTAACACTATATTGTCAACCATCTAATTTATGCAGTCTTTAAAGTTTTTATTTATTTGTTTGTTTGTTTGTTTGTAATCTCTACACCCAATGTGGGGCTCAGACTCAATGACCCTGAGGTCAAGAGTAGCATCCTCTTCCAACTAAGCCAGCCAGTTGCCCCTAAGAATAGTAAGGAGAGAGAAACAGGTGTTCTTGTACTCAATCAAGACTGCATAATTTGAATACAAGAACACCTGTTTCTCCTTTCTCCTCTTCTTTTTCTTCTTCTTCTTCTTCTTTTTTTAAGATTTTATTTTTGAGTAATCTCAATGCCCAGTGTGGAGCTCAAACTCACAACCCTGAGATCAAGAGTCCTTGCAGCCCCACCATTTTTTTAAAGAGTTTTATTTTATTTTATTTTTTTAAAGATTTTATTTATTTAGTTAGTTACTTGACAGGGAGTGAGCACAAATAGAGTAGCAAGTAGAGGAAGAGGGAGAAACAGGCTCTCCACTGAGCAGGGAGCCCAATGTGGGGCTCCATCCCAGGACCCTGGGATCATGACCTGAGCTGAAGGCAGACACTTACCCAACTGAGCCATCCAGGTGCCCCAACAGTCCTACCATTTAACCTTGATATTTTGCATGCATGTGCCCCTCCCCTCCACGATAGGACTTCCTAGCTTAGAGACAGGAAACTCCTCTTGCCAGAGTTCTATCCAGTTTGCTGTCTTGATTACATTTTCTTTGAAGAAATCTTTTATCAAGTCTTTGCCTGTTTACTAGCTCTGGTTGCTAGGTGGCCATATCCTATCCTCAGCCAACCCTATGTATCCCCTGCCTCTGTCTTTGATTAGGGTAAGTCTGGAGGCTTCTCAATGACCCAGAGGATCTCTAACCCTTTCTGAATATAGAAAAATGAGACTTAATATCAAACACCCTCTGAAGGCACATTTCATTCCTGCATATCTTTAATATAATGTCTTGATCTTTAGTGACTTTAATCTCTACTCTCTTCAACATTATCATTTTCTTTCTGGCTCTGCTGCCCTTTGCTGACCTTACGGAGCCTCCCAGAGAGTTGTCTCAAAATTATCTCACAAACTAATTATGTCAAAATATTTCCTGGTTAAAAATTCCCTTCCAAAAGTGAGATATGTTACCTTCTGTCACTGCATCTTTTCACACTTACTCAGTGGAGCTTTCTTTAAAAGTAAATCATCAGAAATATCTTACTTCATCAACACTCGGACCTCCAAAGGAGCTCTTTACATTTAAAGTTTCACCTGGACCTGTTGGTTTTGAATATGGAGAATAAAAGTCAAGTCACGGTGTTCTTATCATAGGAAACTGCCTTGCCAATATTTTAGTCCCACTGAACTGTGTTCTCTGGAGAAAGGGTGTGTTTCTGTGCATGGAGCTATCCAAATGCCCCAAAGGCGATCACAAACGACTGTGGGAAACCTCTTCAACTACAGTAATCTGACTGAAAATTACAAGGTTTGCTACCAAAGAGGAAAAATTACAATTCTGCATTCAGGTAGCTTGTTCCAGCAAAGTCATCTCTCATATAACTTTTGAGCTGGCTGTGCTTCTTTTTTGCTATGGAAGACAATGATTGTGGCTATTATTTGTATCATTTTATTAGCAATGCCTTGAACACCTGGTAGCTCTGATTTGTTTGACAGTTGACATGGCATGTTTAAATCGCAGAAAAAATTGGCATATTGGCTGGTAGATAATAATACAGCTGTAGCTGGGTTTGGGATATTGAATTTCGCTGGCATTGCTACTTATGAAAGGAGAAATAACTCTTTTTTTCTTGCTTCACCACTTATGATTACAGGGCCCTGCCAGTTCGGGCAATAGCGTCAATGCCGTCTATATATTTTACTATTCTTCCTGCGAGAGGGATCCCTGTCTTGCTGGATGTCGTTCCGTTGTTTAAAGGGGGCGTGCTATTATGTCCCAGAAATGTATGAAGGAAGAGGAAGGAGAATGTTCATAACTTGAAGAAGAGATTGGCCAGATCCCGACATGTTTCTCTAAATGGAGACCCTGCAGCTGGCATAGGGAAAGCAAGCTTTGTTCTGGAGTAATGAATGGCTTTTCTTGTCTCCATTGCAGCGGCGAGTGAAGGACCAGCCAGCCAACAGCCACCCATGTTGCCCCCAGCACAGCCTGAGCATCCCAGCACCGAGGAGGCACCAAGCAGAACCATCCCCACGGCCTGTGTTCGACCAACCCACCCACTCCGCAGCTTTGCTAATCCTTTGCTACCTCCACCGATGAGTGCAATAGAACCGAAAGTCCCTTACACGCCACTCTTGTCTCAGCCAGGTAAATGCCCGTTTGTTCACGTTTGAAATAGTTGTTATCCTCTGTGCCTCTCCTTAAGTGCATGAGGGTTCTGGAGAAGGCGGGATGCAATAAATCTGTTCACCATCGAGGTTCGTAGGACAGCTTGTAAGTATCTGCTTTGGCAGCAACTGGCTGGTTATAGGTGCATTTCATTCCTTTGGAAAGTCATCGATCCTGAACACTGCTGGAAACATTCCTGGTTCTTTAGACGGCCACATGGATCCTAGAATTTAAGGCTAGGCATGAAGACTAGACATAGAGGTACAAAAGCCTGAAAAAAACACTTTTCAGAGCTATGCATGTAAACCCATAATTCTGCTTTGTAGCCTTTCAATTGTCGTCTTCCAGAGGTTCTTATTTCCAAGTTCCAGGGCCAGAAAGGAGAAGAATGCAACTTCTTAATTTTAGAAATGACAAAACAAAAACTTGGGTAGGAAGTAACATCTCTATGATAACTGTGATAGCCTGACTTATAAGAAATACATATTCCGTCATTCAGATGATCAGACTAGAGTTCTCATTTATATTAGGTCTTCCTCCACAGTTTCTGGGTACTCTGAAGCTCACAGCTCACAGCTGTGAGCTTAGAATTTCCTTGGTGATAAGTGGATAAAGGAATCCTTAGTTATGTTAATGAATGTGACTTTTTGTGGTTTTTGTTTGTTTGTTTGTTTTCTTGCTTGCTTATGAACATGAACTTTGGTCAACCCCCTCAAGCGTGGGGGCTGGTTGCTAGGAAGACCAACCATGACTAGAGAGTTGGAGCTTTCAGTCTCACTCCCAACCTCCAGGGAGGGGAGAAGGGGAGGTGGAATCTGCCAAGGACCAATGACTTAGTTAAGCATGGCTATGCAACAAAGTCCCATAAAAATCTCAGAGGACAGGGTTTGGAAAGCCTCCAGGTCGGTTTACATGTGGAGATTTGGGGAGAATGATGGAACTAGAGAGGGGATGGAAGCTCCATGCTCTTTCTCCGGACCTCGCTCTATGTGTCTCTTCATCTGACTGTTGATTCGTATCCTTTATCATACCCTTTAATAAACCGGTAAACAGGGGCGCCTGGGTGGCTCAGTGGATTAAAGCCTCTGCCTTTGGCTCAGGTCATGATCCCAGGGTCTTGGGATCGAGCCCCGCATCAGGCTCTCTGCTCGGCAGGGAGCCTGCTTCCTCCCCTCTCTCTCTCTGCCTGCCTCTCTGCCTACTTGTGATCTCTATCTGTCAAATAAAATCTTTTAAAAAATAAATAAATAAATAAACCGGTAAACATGTTTTCCTGAGTTCTGTGAGCTGCTCTAGCAAATGCATTGAACCCAAAGTGTACGGGGCGGGGGGAGGGGGTTGGTCCTTGGAACCACCAGTCTGTAGCTAGTAGGTCAAAAGCAGAGGTAGCAGCCTGGAGCATGTGAGAAGCATCTGAAGTCAGGGGTGGGAGGCAGTTTTGTATGGCTGAATCCTTAACCTGTGGAATCTGTTACTATTTCCAGGTCGATCATATCAGAATTGAGTTGAATTCTGAGACACCCTGCTAGTGTCTGAGAATTGGTTGGTATTGGTGGGGAAACCCCCTCACTGCGACATTGGAATTAGGAACACTAGCCTTAAAGAATGCCTTTCTACGAAGATCAGTTGGCAGAGATGAGAACCAGAGTCCCCTCTTCCCAATGCAGTGTTCATTTGATTGCCTCAATTCGTATCCAGTGGCACTAATCCAGAGTTCCTCTTTGTTTCTGTTAGGGATTAGGGGGGAGAGGGAGAGCAGAGAGGGGGAAAAGAAGAGGAAGGAGAAGGAAGAAAAGGAAAAGAAAGAGGAAAAGCAACAGATAGGATAAAAGATAGGCCAATCGATAGATAAGGAGATACATAAAGAACGACCTAGTGCTTAAAATTATTTGAAGGATTAGAATAATTCTTAACAGCCCCAATATATCAAGCACAAGATAGCAAAGTTCAGCGGTCCCAGGTAAGTAGAGGTGGATAGACACAGCTGGATTGGCCCATCTGTCATTTGGCAAATATATGTAAGTTTCTGTTATTCAGATCCATACCCACAGCAGCTGTAGTCACTGAAATAATTTATAAGACTCATGACGACTGCAAAAGCTAGAAAAGCCACAATTGCAGTTATGAATATTATCTAATTTGAAGAACGTTCCCTGTTCCCGGTATCATATTAAGTGATTCGTGTTAATGCTCTCTGGTGTTCTGCCTTTGCTGTGGTGTGTGGTATGGCTGTTCAGCTACCAGCTAACCCGGGAAGGTGGAATGGAGCACAAGGATGTGGGATTCCCGTCCCTGGGATATATGAAGACTGTCCTCTCTGACACATAATCTCGATGGCTGTCTTGACTTCGTTTCACAGGAAATAGCTCTCCTAACCCAAAAGAAGCCCACACTAGGATTTAAAAGAGATCTATATTGCCCAAACCCCTCTCCCCACCCCCCACATTTATACACTCCACTCACATTATGGGCAGAGTCTGCTACTTTATAGTGCCCTGAAACTATGAGGTCTTTGCTAATCGAGATAAGGACAGTTGGAAGCAAGAGGATTCGTTTAATGAAATTCCTGTGTCCCGATCACACTGCCTGGTGACTTCTGGTTGCACTGTTTCCCACTGCAGTACCAACCAAAAGAACAGACCTCGGAAGTGACTGGTATTCAACCTTTTGTTGAACTTGAGTTCTATGCCTGGCATGCTTCTGCAGACTTGTAACACTACATTTGATCCTCAGAGCAACTTTGCTACTTTTTTAACCCTAGTTCATGGCTACCAGAATGGGGACTCAGTTAATTTAAGTAATACAGTTAAGTCTGCACAACTACTGAGGGATGTATCTGTTCCTATTCTTTTTGGCTATAGCACAGGTTCTGAAGTTTGACGAACTCATTTGCACCTGTTATTTGTGTCTAACTTATTTAGTGACAAAAACAAAGATAAATTATTTAAAAACTTATTACCTCAAATCATTCCAAAACTGATAAAAAGAAAAACGAGAAACATCTGAAGTAACTTTGAGTTGAGGAATACCTTTTCCTCACAAGCCTTCCTCACTCATATTTTAAATGAGGAAAGGTAAGAGGTTTAACTGTTTTATGTGGAAGAACACCAGTTTCCTAATACCAAAAAACTAGGTGCCAAAGCACTTTAATACTGTTAGCTACTTTCTTTAGTTGGGAGTAAAAATTAACTGTGTTATCACATTGAGAAAAAAAAGCTGAAAATAAAATTGTGAAGTCGCTTTTAAAAGAAATTTTACCATGGCAGAAATATTTGCCTTGGAACACACACTTCGAAATCAACCCATGCTCCAGAGAACTGTGGTAACAAAGAACCCTCATTTTAGAAAGAACATCTGACAATAGACAGAACAAAGCCCTGGCATTGTTATTTACTACTTATTGTTTTCTTCCAGTTACAATAATAGAAAAGCGACCTTAAACAGAGTCTGACACAATGTAGCATAAATAAGCTTATTATGTCTTTAAAAGATGGGAAATCGAGTCCTTTCTGCTGTCTCTACACCTGTTCTCTCAAAAAAATAAGCATATTTGAAGAACCATTCTTTGATCTAATGCCATGTGGGCAAGATCTCATTTTCTTTTATCTCCACTGTACACTTAAGAGCCTTCTTTTTATTAACTATCCATCTAGTTTTAACTATCATTCTTGTTTTTATTTAAACTGTTTCTTAAAAACTCTCTCTTTTTTAATGTTTTCCAATATCTCTGGGTTTTGGGGGGACTATATGTTTTTCATGGTTCTCCTTTAAATGCCATCTTCCCCCACTCACCTTGAGGCATATCCTGCCATCACTTTGGAATTATTAAATGTCTTTCCTTTTCATGTTTCTCCTTCATTGTCTCCCTGTGAGTCCTGTTCATTTCATAATGTCTTACCTCATGATTTTCAAATAAGTTCTCCCTGCATTGCTTCTGACACATGGTAAATAGTATGCTTTTAAGAAAGGGCTGATGTTTACTTATTCTAATAGAAAAAGAAAATTAGCAGACTGACAAATGTATTAGCTGTGACATTAACTACATGCTTCTTAGCCTAAAAGATGAAATACTTAGAGCTTTCAACAAATTTTAATTCTAAGAAAATCATTACTTTAGTCAAACTGATTGATGAAGTAAAGTCATTCTCTTGTCGGCTTGAAAAAAAAAATACCTCAAATAATTTTACTTCGGATTTCACAATAAAGGACTGAGTAATTTCTAATGAATTTATCTTTACTTACTGCAAGTAATTACTTTAGAATATGGTAATGTGAGGCATTGCTATAATTTTTAAAGATCACCCCAAATGAGAAGCTCCTTCTGCTTTGAAACCGCTTGAATTAGGATCAATGAAGAAGCTCTTTCCCTACTCATATTCCCGTGTGTGGTTTTTTTAAGGGCGGCATCATTGATCTGTGCCTCAGTTGGACTTCCAGTAATGCATGTGGAGCTGCGTTCTCGGGGTGTGACGTATAGGGCAGCGCATAGTACGCAGTAACTGTCTCCACGGAGTTGGGGAGACTTTTGCGGTATTTTTATAATAGTTTAATTAGGAAGTCAGCCGGTTGTTATAATGACTGAAATTCTGTCCACCTGAAAACACAGATTCGTTCCTTCATTGTTTTTTCTTTTTTCTTTTTTTTTTTTTTTCCCCTTTCCACCTGCCGAGTTAAAATTTAGTTTCCTGGACTAGAGTACTTTATGGCGTTTCTTACAATTTCATCATCCCCTCGTGATAAAGTGGTTCCGTTTCGTAACGCTTCCCAGTGAATAACTGTGCGGTCTTGACGCATTTCAGGGAGGCTACAATCACCGCACTTTGCAAATCACAGATGCGGACGTCTAAGTGATTTGGCTTCGTCCCCTTTCAGGTTAAATAGAAAATGTTTGATGGAGTGTTGCGCTTCTGGCATTATAGATCTGATATAAATTTAACAAAGGGCCAAGATAGGGTTTTTTTTTTTTTCTTCACTAGTGA